TATATATATATATATATATATATATATATATATATATATACATACATACATACACATACATACACACACCACATACATATTAGAATAAATATATAAGAGTACCTGGCCTTTAAATAAATAAAGCTTGACTATACAGAATCATAAAAGTGATTCTATCCATTACATCTATAAATTCAATTTAAAAGGTCAGAGTCAATCCAGGATTGACTGGATTATCAATCCATATTTCTTCAATCCAGAATTTTTTATACCTGGGGTGGTGATTTCTTCCCAATGGTGCAAAATTATCATATCAGTTTGGTGGGTCCAGAGTCCATTATAAATCAGAATATTCCATAGTTTTGGAATATAATTTAACATTCCCATTAATCATTTTATACTGCATTTTTGTTAAGATTAATACGAATATGTGACCAAAACAGGACAAGCATAGGGCAAGCCCAAGACATATGAAAGAATTTGTCAAATATATTACATGACCAGCATAAAAAGGTTGGCATGTAACCCTTTATAAACATCCACTGAGATGTCCAATAAATATGAACAATGATATTTTGCTATATTAGTCACATCTTAATGTTATATGAAATACACTGTAGTATAATTGGCTTTTGTAAGTTGTACAATCATAAAAAAATGTGCAGTGTTGCTGCATGTCCAATTCTATTACAGGCTATGAGAATGACTTTGGGAGAAAGAAGGAAGAGCTGCAGCCTAGACAGCAGTCTGATAAAAGACACCCAAGTTCAAAGGAAGGATGAGAGTGAGAGAGCACCTCAGATGGGACCTTCTCTAATTCTCCGGCAAGAAGGGAAGGAAAGTGTTTTCAGGCTTGCAAGATTATATCATTTTATTCCTCTCATCTTTAATTCAAAATGGTAAATGGTAAGTCTCCTGCCAAAGCAAAGCCATCATCACAGTGGTTTACACATTTATTGTTTGATGCTTGTAGTAAATGACTACAAATGAACCTTGTGGCAACCTGAACAAAACCAGTCCTATCACAATTACCTCGAGAAAAAAGATTTGGGATGCTACATAAATTTGTAAACATACATGATTGCCATTATTTTTTATGGAGTGTGTGTCTATGGATACCCTGAATGTAATTAAACAGTTCGGAAAACTGTTTGGAAAACTTTTCCTCCTTTGAGTCAGTGTTGACAAATCTGTGCAGTGTTCCTCACAAGATTTCAGAGGCGGATTGCCATTGCCTTCTATCTACAGTTCAGGGAGTGTGACTAGCTCCAAGTTACCTAGCTGGATCTCCCTAAGCAAAGAAACTGAAACCCTGGCCTCTTGGTTTCTAGCCTGATGCTTTATCCTAACATCCAACCAGATGTTTGAGAAAACATAGCATCTCTAAAATTGAGATGGTGCTGAAGAGCGCACAAAGCCAGCGTGGGTGCCAGAACATGATTATAAATACACTTCCTTAGCCTCCGCATCAGGAAGTAGATTCTAAGTGCTGGCATTAGATGTAGCTGAAACCTCTGGAAAACTGACAGATCTCCACTTAGCATAATAAACCTAGGATTAATGTGTTTCTAAACACACTAAGTTTCCAGGAAATTGTTGCAGACCAGCAAATAAATTATTTCCATTGTCAACTCTTTAAATGGAACTAATAGTGGAAGCAAGTTGTATTTTTATTTCAACTCTTGCGAGATAAAATCAGGGTCTAAAGTCCCTTTTATAAAGTACACTGGTAGGCCCTATAAAAATAGCAAATAATTAAATCTACTGTATGTACATTTGGGATCTTAAAAGAAAATGTTCAGACAGGCCCTCATGCCTGGTCTTCTTGCAGCTTGTCTACTGCAATGCTTTCAACATCGGGCTGCCCTTTAAGGCCACCCAGAAGCTTCATTTGGTCCAGAACACAGTAGTGTGAGTGATGGGTGTGACTCACTTTGCATGTAATATCTCTACTTCATAAGCTGCACTGGTTACCAAGTTGCTTCTGGGTGTGATTTAAGAGGCTGGTTGTTACCTACAAAGCCCTTCAGGCTATACTGCTTGGATTCCTTTGATTGAACAATGTCACCTAATGGGATCCTTACAACTCACCTTCTCTGCCATAGTGTTTGCCCTCTCAAAGGAGAGGTTCCCACAAAATCTGGATGGCCCCACCCTGCTAGTATTTCAAAGAGCCTTGAAGATCTTTGGTGAGGGTGAATGAGGCTCCCTTCTGGGTAATATACTTTGGTTGGCTGCTTTGCACCATCTTTTGTCCTTTGTTTTTATTATTTTATTGTTCTCTGTGTCTTTAAGTTTGAAAAGCCCAGAGTTGTTGAGCATCTGGCAATCTAAAAATATAATAAGTTATTAAAAAAATACATAAAGCATAGATCTTGCTAGGATCAGGATGACAAAATTGTCCCTGGAAGAAAAGCTGAATCTACTGCATTACTTTGAAATATTTTTTTCTAATGTTATTGTTCTATCTGTTTGTGTATATGTGCCCTTGGTACAGTGTTGATTCTTGGTGACTATATGGAGTTTTCTTGGCAACCTTTTTAGAATTGGTTTGCCATTGTGCCTAAGACAGGAAATCACAGTCTCCCAATCTCTAGCCTGGCACCTGAAGCCATGCACCACACTGGATTTCTCTCTCTTTCTAAATGTTTAGAGTCTTTAATTTCTCCTTTATTAGCAGATAGCAGTTACTACCCTAGTCACCACATAATTTTTACAAATGTTAGTAACTAAAATTGTTTAATAATCACTAGATCACGTTGAATAGAGAACTGTAATAATCTGTGGGTCTCTTATAGTGGTTTTTTTATTACAACCTAGTGTCTGGCGACAAATAATACAGCTGCCTTGCTGAAACCAAATAGATCTGAATTGAGTCAAAGCCTGGACAGGAAGCTATTCCATATACAAATGCTCTGCTATTTCTTCTAAACACCTTGAGCAATGTAATAAAACCAAGAATATTTTCTGAGAATCCATTTTTCTAAAGGTCACTATCAACCAGAAGCACTTGTGATTCTTGCAGCTGTTTATGTAACCTTCCTTATCTATCAGAAAACTCTTTGAAGAAAGGCACATAAAATGTTCACCTTGGTGACTTATGATAAGGGTGACTCCTGAATTAGTAAGCAAGATTTATCCTTCTTCAAATAAAAAATACAAGAACTAATGTTCATTTGGTCAACTTTAGTTGGTTTTGCCTTATTTTTTTGCTGCTCTTACTAGAGCACGCACTATATGGAGAAAAGTAGAAGGCTTGAATGGAGTACGTACACACACACACACACACACACACACACGCCAAAAAACCCATAAAGAAATCATGCATCCCACTTGCACATTATACCAAGCTACAGTTGCAATCAGTGTAATCAAGATGCCAAATTTTGGTTAATTGCTCTAAAATTACATACGGAATATCAATGGTCCTGTTTACACATCATTTTAAACAAACAAACAAACAAACAAACAAAAATCAAACCAAAAACACTCCCCCACCCTCCTTTGAGACTGACATGAAGCTTGAATGAAAAGCTATCACTAACCACAATAGAAAGTTTATTCTAACAGTGGCAAATGAGTAGTGTCAGAATATTTCTATGACATGGGTGTGAAAACAAGAAATAGAACTAAGGTATGCCAAAAAGGAGGGGTTTACCTTGGATAAACATTCCCAAAGACATGTCCTAAAAACTGAACTCGTGCCAAGTAACCAAGCAGTGGGTACACAGTAACCATCTGGAACAGCAGGAATATTCTTGCAAGAAATGACATGATGTCATTACTGGGGAAATTATCTAAAAAATTCTAACAAAAAGAAAAGTTAGTGATGCAAGTGAAATGGAGTTGTCATTTTCTTCTGCACACACACACACACACACACACACACACACACATATACACATACATACAGACATATATATATATATATATATATATATATATATATATATA